TTTTTTTTTTTTTTTTTTTTTTGCGAATAGACATTTGGCAACAATGAGTATGGTCAGGGTAGCCCTAATACGTTTGCATTTCCATTACTCATTTGTGTATGCTGATACATTATCCCGAATAATTTCATCTTATATTGAGCCTAAATTGAGTAGCATGATGCAGGTAGCAATATTTTTGATTCAGAGGAATCGTCATGCTTTGATTGGTAGGGCAATTGACAATCATGATATGGAAAGAGTTCTCCGATTTCTGAAAAACGATCCAGTATGGTGCAATATCTTACTCCTTGCTGCCTGTTCATGCCACATGACAAAGCAATTCACCGAATGTGAAATTTTTCTTTCTTTATTCTTTTTCTTTCTTTTTTTTTTCCTCTGCAGGTTGTGGATGCTGTATATGATTGCAAAAGCGAGGTGATTGGACCAGGATTTTTTAGATTCAAGGCTGAAATAGGTGATACGTTGATGCCCATACATTGAAAAAAGTGTCGATAACTTTTGACACGGTGAAATTTATTGGAATTTCGGGTGTTTGCATGATATTTGTTGCAGACTTCAATGGTGTAGTATTGGTGCAAAACTATCTAAGGAGAACCGGACGCGAGGAGTGGGCTAAACAGGTGATTTCAATTTCCTTCAAGTTGTTAAATATTTGCTCGGTTCTGGTTTATTGGGAGAACCGATTTGCTTCATACTCTACCAACAATTTATATTACGCCTTACGTTTTTCATTGGAATAGGCTGTAGCTAATTTTCTAATGTTATCTGTTTAATTCCACACACATATATTTGAAAAGAAAAAGAAAAAATCATTGTTCGAAAATGCATGCTACCATTACGTGCCATTGCTTCTCAAGTAGATTTTGTTCATGGCATATATACAGTTTCGGGAGGCTGCCAAAGCCAGGGACGATACTGTTGCTCAAGATCATGTCAAACTATGGTATGATATACAATAAAAATCAAGATAGCGTTTAACTCTTAACAACACTTGAGTTTCAACTAATTGCATGATACCTAAATTAACTTTTATAATCACAAAATACCCCCTCGAGGTTTCCATTATCCAAAAGGGCGTCCCTCGTCAAGAGTAATATTAAGGCTATGTTTGGTAAACTAGCTATTAGCTGATAAGCTACCTTATAGTTTACAAGTGATTTTTGAGTTTATAGCTTATAACTTATGATTTATAGCTGAAAGCTAGCAGCTTATATGATAAAAGTGTTTGGTAAAATTAGCTGATAAACTAGCTGAAACAAAAAATTCAACGGGAAGCTACCCAAGGAAACTTATGCGATAAGCTCGGTCTTTTTATAAAAGCTTGCATGAAATAAAAAATTCAATTGACTTATTTGAAAAGCTACCTAAGGAAGATTACGAAGTAAGCTCGATCTTTTTAAAAAAGTTCGTCATAACAAATCAAACTTATTTGAATACAAAAAGTTTATAGACTAATTAAATAAGCTATAAGCTTAGCATATATGCTTACCAAACACAGCCTAAACCTCAAGGATATTGCTCCTAACTAAACCGTGAAATTGTCTATTTAAAACGAAGTGTGATGTTTGGTTGCAGGCGAAGAAGTTGTCACGGCTCTTGGGAGTGAAGTCGATCGGCTTGAAAAAGAGATTCAAGAAATAGTCCCGGGTATTAGGCACTTGGATATCGAAGCCCACAATCCTGTAGTCCCATCAGCATAAATCATTACAAGTATCAAATTTTATTATTCTCAATCCAGGAATGAAGTCTCGTGGAATTCCTTTACTTGGGTAAGCCGGTTTTTAATTGCAATCGACATAATGTGAATAGTGAGGCGGGTTTCGTGTTCGTCGAAATGTAATGGAACTTTGTCTTTCCTTCTTCAATCACACCATTATTACACGTTTTACTCATAATAAAAACATACAAAATTTGGAATTAATATGTTACATGGTCGTTTGTTGTCTTTAGTTTGTGAATACTGAATTGAGACTATGTTTGGTAAAATTAGCTGATAAGCTAGCTTATAGCTTAACAGTAGTTTGTTGAGTTTATAGTTTATAGCTTATGACTTATAGCTGAGAAGCTAGCTTATATGAAAATTGGCCAAATAACAAAAAAAATTTTAACGAAATTTTGCATGAATATAATGTATATGAACTAAATTCAATTTTTCTGAATATAATTAATATTTTTTTATTATATGTATGTAAAATATAAATTTAAAATAATAATATTTTGGTCCATACAATTATGTCAACAAAATAAAGTCAATTAAAATTTCAAATTGTAAATCAAAATATAAAGACGAGTTTTGCAATTCAATACAACTAGTGCAACTCCCGTGTATTACACGGGTGCTTGCTAATTTTTTTTTTAATCTAAAATTAATGAGAAAAATAGTTAAAAAAATAAATACCTTTTATAAAAATATATATTATTATATATTTAGTATGACACTTTTTATTTGTGCGACTTACATGTGTTATATTATAATATTTTTTTTTTTAACTTACAACGTATAACTACATTAAACATAAATATATCAATTTAAAAATAATTTTATTTTTCTAATGAATTTTAATAAATATAATTATTATTTATTATTATAAATATAATTATAATTTATTTATTTCAATATATACAATATGGATGTCAAATCGAAAATCATCAAAAGATGATTAATTTGATATGTTATAAATGTAAAACCGATAAAAAATACAAAAGTTATCAACTTTTAAAACACATTTACAATTCAATAGCTAATTGAAGGAAACAAATCAAACGTCAGGGATATATTAGTCACTTAGTGTCTCACTATTAAAATTACAAGAAATTAAAGGGTTATATTAGTACAAGTGATATTAAAATACCTAAGTTAGCTAAATAATATTTATGGAATGTCCAAACCTAGATTATTAATTATTAATATATCAATAATAGTACAACGCCCGTGTATTACACGGGTACTTGCTAATTTTTTCCTTACAATCTAAAATTAATGAGAAAAAGTAGTTGAAAATTTAAATACTTTTTATAAATTTAAATATATTATTATATATTTAGTATGTCACTTTTTATTTGTGCGACTTACATGTGTTATATTATAATAATTTTTTTAACTTACAACATATAACTACATTGAACATAAATATATCAATTGAGAAATAATTTTATTTTTCTAATGAATTTTAATAAATATTATTATTTTTTATTATTATAAAGATAAATATAATTTATTTATTTCATATATACAATATGGATGTCAAATCGAAGATCATCAAAAGATGATTAATTTGATATATTATATATGTAAACCGATAAAAAATACAAAAGTTATCAACTTCTAAAATACATTTATATTTCAATAACTAATTGAAGGAAACAAATAAAAGTCAGGGATATATTAGTCACTTAGTGTCTCACTATGTAAAATTACAAAGAATTAAAGAGTTATATTAGTACAAGTGATATTAAATACTTAAGTTAGCTAAATAATATTTATGGAATGTCCGAACCTAGATTATTAATTATTAATATATCAATATTATTTGTCTAAACCTAAATATGATTTTTCGCCAAGTAGGATTCCGAAACACCAGAAGCAGCCACGTAGGCTCAGCGTATTCGAGAATTATATATAGGGGGGATTATTTGTACAAACTTAATTATGAAGCATAATTTTTTGCCAAGTAAGATTCCGAAGCACCAGAAACAACCACGTAGGATCAGCGCATTCGAGAATTATATATAGGGAGGATTACCAAAAAAAAAAAAATTATAATGCAAATTTGCAAACCATTTTGGGGTTTATTTCGAATAAGCTAATCGTCAGTGCCGACAAAAAAGAGAATAATAAAACATGGAGCATATCAACGGACAAGATTCAAAAATCACTTACATCAAATTTCCACCGTTGGATATGTTTCATCCTCAACCCCCACAAAACCCTAATTCCTCTTTTATCTGCATATGAAGTTCTCTAAGACCAGCCGCTGTGACATAACCAGGCAAGCCGCGCTCCTCCGACAAGCACACCAAACAACACCGTAAGCTCATTCTATATCTTTCTCCGTCTTCAGCATCAACTGTACTTTTGCTTATACCTGCACGTGCCTATAATTTTGAGTGTTTGATCTGATGTTTAAACTCGCGTTCTGCCCATTTTTGTGCAATCTGTGTTGGTGACCGAATGAGTTTTTTAAACCCGATATTGTGCCAATTGAGCTGATCTGTAGCAATAGGATTGATGATTAATCAATCTAAGTAGGCACATTTTTTTTTTTGTTTTTTTTTTATCATGGTGTTGTAGCTGTTGGGTCTTGTGTTTGAATTTTTAGTATATCAGTGGCTTTTGGAAGCTTGTACCGTTTTATTCTGAATACCGTTGTCTGGAAATGGGTAAATGTGGTAGAGAAGATGAAACAGAACTCTTAGATGGACAACAATTCTTATACGTATATGCAGTTATATTAGTTGCATTTGCCGGATTGTGTGTATTTCTATTCCCTATTTCGACTAAGAAATACACTTTTCACGGACCCATTCAAATATATATTTCAGACAGAAATAATTCGTGCATGATGTTGACAGTATATAAGTGGCATTTGGAGCTTGTGTTCTTTATTTTTTTCTAAATACCATAATTTGGAAGTGTCTATAAGATGGGATAGCGAAGATAAAATGAATCATAGACGGATAACAGTTCTTTTATGGATATGGCTTTAACTTACATGACTTGCATTTTCAGGAATTTGTTTTTCTATTCCCTATTTATACTGAAGAAGTTCATTTTTCACGGACTCGGCTGTTTTGTTTATATGTTTCATATAGAAATGGCTGAGAAGGGAGGCATAATTGTTCCTGAGTCTGTGCTAAAGAAACAGAAGAGGAGCGAGGAATGGGCTTTGGCCAAGAAGCAGGAGCTTGCTGTTGTGAAGGAGAAGAATGCTGCAAACAGGAAGCTGATTTTCAATAGAGCCCAGCAATATGCCAAGGAATACGCGGAGCAGGTGTGATTGAGTGGTCTATTTGTTTTATTTATTTTTTTCCAGCTATTGTGAGCTTCTTTTACTGTATTAATTATACGTCGGCTGTTGCACATTTTTGGATTTATTTATTTGTTTTTTTTTTCTGTCTTTAGGAGAAGGAGCTGATTCAGCTGAAGCGCGAGGCAAGACTGAAGGGAGGGTTTTATGTGAATCCTGAGGCTAAGTTGCTTTTCATCATTCGCATTCGTGGGTATGTAGTTGTGTTTTACTTAGACTTGACTTGATGGACAATTTGATGATTCATATCGTTTGGTAACTTGGTTTTCGTCTATTTATGTTCTCTGATCTCAGTATTAATGCCATGCATCCGAGGACTAAGAAGATCTTGCAGCTCTTGCGTCTTCGGCAGGTGAAGAGTAGATCCACTTTTTTCTGTGTGAATGTTGTTATTTTTGTTTATTTTTTTGTTTCTTTGATAACTAGTTGGAGAAAAGATGGTCTCTAAATGGTTTATCAGTTATAATATCATTTCTTTTTCATGTTTTTTTAATCGCGGTTACCTTTCTTCCATGATAAACAATTACACATGTTAGTTTCAAACACAATTTTTTGACGTTTTGTTACAATATCCTTGGTCCTAAAAGTACTCTGAATCCATTACTATATTCTAATTAATGCAGATTTTCAATGGCGTGTTCCTAAAAGTTAACAAGGCAACAGTGAATATGCTTCACAGGGTTGAACCCTACGTAACCTATGGGTATGCATCTCAATATTGCTGCCCCTCGAACTTTTTTTCCCACTAATTTGCAAGTCAACTTATCAGCATACAATGTGCTTTGCTTAGGTACCCCAACTTGAAGAGTGTGAAGGAACTGATTTACAAAAGGGGCTATGGCAAAGTCAACAAGCAACGGATTGCTTTGACCGATAACTCCATTGTTGAACAGGTTTGTCGACTATTTCAAATGTGATTTGTTAATACAATTTTCTTCCTTTATATTTTAACCATGGTTCAACTTCTTTTTTCAGACACTTGGCAAACATGGCATCATCTGTGTGGAGGATCTTATTCACGAGATCATGACTGTGGGGCCGCACTTTAAGGAGGCGAACAACTTTCTGTGGCCATTCCAACTGAAGGCTCCTTTGGGTGGTCTGAAGAAGAAGAGAAATCACTATGTCGAAGGAGGAGATGCTGGGAACCGTGAAGACTACATCAACGAGCTCATTAGAAGAATGAACTAGATTTTGACCCACCCTTCATATAATTTTGGATTTCGAGATTATATTTGTTTAGAACATGAAGATTATGTGATCTTGTAGCCAATGTTGTTCCTTTTGCCTTTACTGGAGTTGGTTTCTTGTTTTTTGGTTCATCATCATGCATGTTAATGACCCATTTGTGTTTTGATATTTACATCTTATTTCAGAGCACCAAATATCAAGGCTAACGGATGCTACAATATAATGTTGACATGTAAACTCTTGTGCTCCAAATAGTTGGCAAAATCTTGTTGAAAGCTGTTAATATCATGTTAGACATGATATTGTAAACATTTGCATGATATACTTCTAAACTTATGATACAATAACAAATTTGTGATATTTAAGGAATATTAGTTTATATTTTCTAAATATATAATATGAATGATTAAATAGTTTATAATAATAGACTATGACAGGATAGTAATTATAATTTATGATGTTTCAGGAGTATTGGAGATTATAACTTGGTTATAATAATAGAATATAATTGATTAAATTGGTTTTATAATAAGAGAAATGCCATATATACAGAATATTGCATATAGTGGTGTACATAACACTTACATTGAATTAGACCCATTAAAAAAATAAAAAAAAACAAGTGGACCCCACACCATGTGAGTGTTATGTACACCTCTACAATTAAAAATAAAAAAACAAGTAGACCCCACTCCATGTGAGTGTTATGTACATCTTTATGTACATTTATTATACAAGTTATTTTTTTTTTATACACAAATATGCCACTCTATTTCAACTTTCAAATATTTTAATTTGTCGTATTCTATTGTTTTAAACTATTCAATCAGTTATATGCTATTATTATGAGGAGTGAGGCCTACTTAATTTTTTATTTTTGGTCGATTCCATTCACATTGTAAGTGTTACAACAACCATACGTACAAAATAAACAATCAAAATGACCATAACTATACCATACATGATCCAATAAAACCAGTTCATAGTCGAAAATTATCCTATTTTTCCTGCGCGGGAAATTTCGTTGAAGCTTCCTCGTATGGCGAGAAAAGGAAATTCAGCTCAAAAAAATGTTTCCCCTGAAATGTAGCTCTCTCTCGTCCTCGCACCATGGCGGTAGAATCGGATTCCCACAAATTATCCACTCAGCCGAGCATGGAAATAGCACAGCCACCCGCCCCAAAAAAGCCACACACACAACCCCCAAATGTGCCACGCCCCCAATCCTCCATTCCCCTTAGTGCGCGGCCTAACCACTCGATTTTTTTTCCTTCTCCGGCGACCCTGACCACCGTGAGGAGCGTTAACCCCAAAATCGGAGAATTTTTTTTTTCCTCGATTGGTGATTTCACGAATCGTTCGCCGACGTTTTCTTCGCCCCTGACGGAGTGGTGGCTCCGTGGAAGCGGCGGTGTCATCTCTCTAACTCCTCGTCCTCGTTGACAGCCGACATGACGACCGGCAGCGACGCCGCGGTTCTCCGCGACCTGGAGGCCGGGTCCTCGTCCGCCCCCGTGGATGACGGTGGAAGAGTGTGGGAGGGAGATGATGAGTTCTCAGATCCGTTCGACATAGCCAACACCAAGAACGTCTCTCACGATCTGCTCAGGCGCTGGAGGGTAAGCGTGTGAGAGGTGTTCGTTGTTTGTCGTGCATTGAGTCATTAAAGAATAAATGTCCCAAGTCCCAACTGTTTCGAACGTCACTGTTATTCGTTTCATGCACGTCTCTGTTTTCTGCTTAATTGCTCGGAGTTTTTTAGCATTTTCTTTGGTTGACCTGAGTATAGATTATAGATTTGAATATCGATCATAAACTTTTTTGTTTAACATTTTTCGTATATTTCCACTTGTATTTTGGCTGCTAAAGCCGTTGAGGAACTAAACATGCATGGTGACTACGTAATACATGCATGATGACGTTTGCAGAGTTTGGCGATATCTAATGGCTCACTTACTATAGTTGGATTGTTAGGGAAGAAAATTGGCAAGGCTAGAGCCTTGCTCTGATATGGTGAGGTGTTTCCTCATAAACTGATAAGTGGCAATATCATTAACTCAATTGCGCCGGGCTTCCATTTGCATTGATCTTATTTCATGACCTCATTGCACTTCTTTGCAATGTGGAGCAGTGGTGTTATGTGTTATCTAAGAACTCTCCAGAGTGCAATGACTTTTCCCATTGACCATGCACACTCTTATATTGTCAGCATTTTTCGTAGTAGATATATTCTCAATTTGATTATAGCGTGACACACTGAAGCATAAAATCTTCACAGTCCTGGAGCATTTATCTGTTCCAACTTTCATCCTATCTTTTGATCCATTGCTTTTGAGCATGTAGAGTACAACCATGCATTTGAGGCAAGCTTTGTAAAACATTCTACAAACTGTTATACCCTGACATGCTCATTTAGCCTTTTCAAAGTCACATCCTCGGTACCCCCACCCAAGTGCATCACTAACAGTACTTGCTCGTGGCGTATTAGTACGGCTACTCCATGTTCATATTTCTTTGTATTCTTCTCCTTCTTTTTCCTTTTTAATTTGGGTGGGGTGGTGTTTGTCATTCTTTCTTGTTTTTGGTTCAAAGCATTTTCCAACCTACCGAGTTTGCTTTGATTTTCTAACAATGAACGACTGACGCTATGCTGCTTCTATGCATGGAGGTAATCTCCTATAAGTATAGGAAGCAGTTTCTTTGAGGTTTGTTCATGTGAAATTTTTTGATTGACTGGCCAAATCTGTTCAGCCCATTGAGATTTAGATGTTCATATTCATATATGTGTTTCTCCTCTATGGAGTTGTAAACTCATGAGGAGTAATTATGATGATGATGCTTGTGTTGACTGGTTCTCAACATACACAACAACCTTTTTCTTATTGTGCAAATCTTTATCCTTCATAGCAAGCTGCCCTTGTGCTTAACGCTTCACGCCGGTTTCGCTACACATTGGACTTGAAAAAAGAGGAAGAGCAAGAAAAAAGAAGAAGGATGATTAGAGCACATGCTCAAGTCATAAGGGTAATACTTAAACAAATTTATTCTGATTTGCATAGATTCTTTTTCGATTATTAATGCTTGTATGTTCATTGCAGGCTGCTTTGCTCTTCAAATTGGCAGGACAACGAGCAATAGGTATTTGTTTGTCTAACTATTTTTTTCTTGAGGATTTGATGATTTTTTCTTATTCTATAATTTTTTGTTTCTTACTTCATAAGCATAAACTTCCCTTTAGCCGGAAAAGCTCAAAGAGTGTGGACTTGATTTTATATTAATCTTGATTACACTTTTCATATAAAATCAGAGTATGAAGATACTAGGTTACTCGTTCTTTGATGACTGCTGACTGCTTGCAGTTATGTATGTAGAAATATGTCTCAAGTCAAAATTACTATTTATTCTTTTCACCATTGTTGGATACATGGTGGACAGTTCAGGCTTAATGCTTAGCAAGTTTAATGTCTATATGTTACTTCAAGGGTCTTAATTAATTACTCCAGAATTAGACCTTATGTATTCTTCATTCTACTTTAAATACTGACTGTTATCTCTAGTAGTGATAAAGATGGTAGATCAATATGATTGGAATGGCATCTCTTACTTTTAGTTTCACTCTAGTGGCAGTTTCCAATTTATACAGTGTTGTCCAAGTTTCTTGTTCAATTTTTGTCTTTAATATCCGCATTCCTTCGGGATCGGTGAGAACTTATGAGTTCTTTTGGTTGGCTTTCTCACTATCTTAGTCTTTTCCTTAATTGCTACTTAGTATAGTATCTTTTTTCCTCTATAATATCTGCTATTCTTCTTTCTATCACTGGAATATACCTGATTTATGGTAATTGATTCAGTGTTAGGCACTGCAGTCAATCCTCCATCTTCTAATGGGAATTATGCAATTGGACTCGAACAACTTGCTTCAATGACCAGGGATCATAATCTTTCTGCTCTGCAACAATATGGAGGGGTATTAGTTCCTTTTGCATCTTTTTTGGAGGTTTCATGTCATGAGTGGTGCAATTAAGTTTCTCATGATAACATATTTTCAGGTTAAAGGGATAGCAGAAATGCTAAAAACCGACACTGAAATCGGAATTTCTGGTGATGATGATGAGCTATCACAAAGAAAGAATGCCTTCGGGTCAAATACATATCCTGTAAAAAAGGGACGCAGTTTCTTGGTAATATTTTCTGTTGAGTGTTATTTAGTTCCTTATCTATGTTAGCTTCTCTGACATTTGATACTCTGCAGAGGTTCCTATGGGAAGCTTGGCAGGATTTGACCCTCATTATTCTTATCATAGCTGCTGTGGCTTCGTTAGCTCTTGGAATAAAAACAGAGGTACTGTAGTGATAATACACTTTCCCGCTCATTTCACCATTAGTTTTTGTTTTCCTTTTTAATACAAAATTAATGAAAATTTACAGAAGCGCTACTGCTACATCTATACTAATGCCACCACAATGTAATGAAATATATTTAATTTATAACCCATTTCAGGTCTAATTAACTACTCTTCTTTTCTAGGGCCTGGAAGAAGGATGGTATGATGGGGGAAGTATTACCTTTGCAGTTCTTCTGGTTATTTTTGTGACAGGTAATAAAGGTCATACTTACTGTTTAATATGTTACATTTGTCATATCCCACTTTTCCATTTATTTCTATGTTAAGTACTATATTTTCTTCAGCAACATCGACATTGGACAAATCACAAATATATGTTATTATTATGATTTATGTCTACCTCACTTGAAATTTTCCCTTAAGCCTCTTTTCATATGCCTGAGATCGTAAATAAAACATATTGGTGTAATGTGTTCCTGTTTAATAACATTTTTGCATCTAATATTTGTTAACTGATGTCTTTTTTCGGGTGTCTCTTTTTCATAAAGCTCATTTGTCATTATCAGAATTATTATCAATTTAGGCTTGACCGTCACTACAATGACATTAGTTCATTTACTTTTCAATACATGAAGTGCGAGCAGATGTAGCTTA